GCTATTGTTGGCGTGTGGTAGGTCCGGCCTAGACATCAGACGCTTAAGCCCTCTCCCCTCCTCTTAAACGTACTTACACATCTGGCCTTTACTGCTACATAATTTACTTGCTGTTGCCGTGGCAGGTTACTGTTGCTAATGACTCAAAAAATATTTCTTAAGGACACCTCGGGATTACAAAACGGCCCCAGTTAGCAAGTGTGATAAAGCGAACATAACGACGAAGAGTCAATCGTCGTATCGTCTAGTATAAGGCAAGAAGCGTGTGGGGCTTGCCGGGCTGTCGCACATTGCGCCCGTAAAGTGCAAAGAACAAAAGTGAATGAAGCAATTCTTGTGGGACCAACCTGTTAGTAGTTTTGGGAGCGATTGCGCAACGCCCGCAAGTGTATAATTGAGGCTGTTTTTAAGGTAAGAATTAAGCATCTAGAAACGAACAGATGAGCGAGCTATGACGCGCAACCACCGCGTATATGTATATATGTACTAGTAAATTATACACTTATCAACAGTACTAATACTATACTAATACGCTAAAACTGCACCACGCACTGGAAGCGCAAGCGCTATACACTTAATTTTTATCAAATTTCGTCTACTTTCATTAACGAACTAATGCTAACTCGTAGCCTATGATACAATACTAGCATACTAGTACAGTACCAGTATTGTTAATTATTACTTACTTTGTCCGGAAGTACGCAACTATTTTGTTAAAATAGCACTTAACCTTTTAAGCTTTCAGTAATTGGCATCTAGACACGAGGCTAAGAATATTATTTCCGTTACTCATTCAAAGAGCTTGTGCACGCGAACGCTTTCAGATTTAATAGCTAGAAGCAGTACTCCAAGAAGTTAGCTAAATTCACCAATGTTTCACCAAAGGTTCCAATGGCCCTTCTTCAGTTATGGATAAGAATCTATAACCTCAGAAGGTAACGCTAGTATACATTGCGCAAACTCCGTTCTGTTAAAGCTTACGGTTAATTAGCCGATCGCTTCGTTTTGCAAGTTTGTTCATCAAAGCTTGACTTCAAATCGCCTATATTTGGCATAGAGAATAAGCCATTCTCTAAGAAACACAGGTTTTAGAACATGTTTTGGATTCAAGTTGCTGTGTAGTTTTTATGAGGGTCCTCAAATCATATTTCAGACACCCCCTGCGACTCTGAAGATGTCACCTTGTAGGGTAACCACATTCAGAATGTGAGGTTAGTGTCCTTTGAATAGATAAGAACAAATAACTAGCTTATTTTAATCTTCAACTAAAGTCATTGAAACCATCCCTAGAAGGTTACTAAACACCACACGGCTATGTAAAAGTTTACACTAACATTCCTGTCCGGCTTCGGATGGCAGCCTCTTGTCTTATTCGATATTTCTACCTACTTGAGGATCTAAGGACCAACATAAGCAGCAGGCGCGTATACATAGGGGTCGATCCTGTTCGACCGCTTTACGACATATTCCTGGCGGCAAAAATTAACCATTGTCTACATGAAGAATGTACTAGACTATCGCGAGGGCCCAAAAATATGAACCATCTGCACCGAGATACATTGTACTCAGCACCTACACATCTGCCAAACCTGGATCTTTAAATGATGGATGACGCCTATACTGCTGTGGTCGCAGCGATAATCTAGGTTGCTTGCGTTGCCGCGAGAAACGAGGCAAGAGCATAGAGATCTCTTATATTTTCAGAGGTCTAAATTATACAAAACCACCTCTTTTTATGCTAAAAAGGTATCAATACACAGAATGTTAATTATTAATTTTTTTTTTTTTTAATAATAATGTCATTTACCAGACTTGTTCACTGGTTTCAGCACCCTGAATTATTTCCAATCGCTCCTAAAGTATCAAAGGAAAGTTTGAGGTACTTTTTAATGTCTTCTTGCTAACGGCACTATTCAGGAATTAACGGAGTATTTCGCCTGTAAAGCTCAAGTTTGTGGTGCCTGCCTGAATTGTTGCCGTGCTCTTGATGGTTAAATAAAACTAGGTGGAATTTAAGTTCAGAAAATTAGACAAATTATTCTTTAGATTTATTGATCTGATGATTTTTGTGTTCTTGTTTGCACCATCAGGTACGAAGGTTAAAACGTCAACATTTGACCCTTAAAGAGTGTTTACACCTAGTAACGTTGATTATTCAAATGTTATAACCAATAATGTTAACTATCTAACCGTGTGATTAACCAGTGACACAACAACAACACCGAAGAAAATAACCTAAACTTTACGCCCCGCACAGGTAAGCATTCAAATTACTAACTTCATCGATAATTAATTAAGGTCAATATGCTCTATGATTTTGTTCGGAGGGGTAAAGATGCAAAAGTACATAGAACCCTGTCTGGGTTAAATCGTGATTATGATTGCCGTGCTTGTAGAGTTAAAGTTAAACCTAGCCAATAAACTGATTTCTTGTTTACTAACTTTTTCACTTGAATACTAAAGCTGTGTAAGGTAGTTATCTTTCACTTCAACACACTTAACTTCAGGATACATAGCAATAGGCACTATAGCAGATTCCTACAGTTAGCGTTCAAGTTCAAAGTTCAGTGAATTCATCAAACCATTAGTTTTGCACACTCAAGATTCCGGATAGCGTATAGTGTTATTATTGTGTCACTCATTCCTTAAGCCTGTGCGAGCGAACGCTTTTAGCGACTTAGTAACTAAAAAGCACAGTATTGGATACAGCGTCGCCAAGTTTGGCCAAGAATCCACTCAAGGTCCTACTAGATGCTTGAAGCTTTTTATTTGACTAGTTACAGCTGACGCAGTACACAACTTCAAAGCAATCTAAAACTACCTTTTTATTAAGTTAAACCATCCTGGGTTCGTTAAGATAATCTTAGTCTTTCATTTTTCTAATCATGTAAAATACTCCAGCCTTCTTCATTACTTAAACTTTTATTTTTATTTTTGTCGTGCTTATTTTTACAATGCTCGTTAAAGTGAGTTACCATCTTGAAAGTACCAGCGTTAACTAGAGTTGAACTAATGTGAGGGCCCTTTCCTCCAACATTTGATGTTGATGTAGTAAACAACTAAAAATTAGTCACTGGCTAAGTACAATGGTTGGCGACAAAAAAGAGGAGCCTTAGCATCGTTAGATTAAGTTAAGATAGGTGCTAAAACTTCCCTTATTTCTAGTAGTAGCCAACATAGGCGAAGCCTGTTTGTTTCCTACTCGAGGAGATCTCTATCCAACAACCGGCAGAGAGCTGGTCTTTTAGAAACCACGTGGAAAATACAAGTGAGTAAAAGTGTAAAGTACTTAAGCGGAAAAATCTTGGCTTCAAAGGGCTTAAACATAGAAAAGTCTAGGACCGAGGGTTACAGTCGCCATATATAGGTCCCAACCTCGGCTCCATGTTGATCTAGGATGGAAACCGAAATTAACTCAATGCTTTGCAGAAATGTCAGTATTATCGCGTTGTGTGAGATTTCAAGTCCGATTAATACAGCTGCTCTTCTACCGCTCCAAGAGAGGCGGTTACACTAAGGTCGATTCTTACGCACTGCATCAACTTTGACTCATATTTTAACGCCATTTGCTATTTAAAAAAGAAGCGAATTAACGGGATGCCCCTGATCTTACAAAACCCATTCTTACAAATTCCTGAACCTTGACTGCCTTAAACGTCATTAAAAAATGGTCGATAACTTACTAAAAAGTTGCTTAAGTGTAGAATGCTGATATTTTGTTGTTGCGTCCAGCAAGCGGTGTAACCTAATTGAAATATGTGCCCGAGCATGTTTAATTAGATAATAAAAAAAAAAAATTAAAAATTTGGAGTAGATAGTGAAAAAGATTATAAAAACATATCGTTGTAATATATTTTCTCTACCTATACGTACAAGTTATTATTAAAAGTAAACTGACAAAGCTAGTTTTACGTGTATACTATCTAGTACCAATCAATCCAAAGTCTATTTTACCTCTAAGAGATCTATAAAAATCTCATTAATAAAATAATGCTATAACAAAAAAGGCTGGATTTACTTCTAAAAAAGAAATTTTAATTTTATTGTTGGTTTCGAGTAATATATTTACGTAATATGCAAACAATTTATTTTGTTACACCTATACGCATAAACGTTACGAAATAATTTGTAATTTGTAAAGAGCAAAAAGGCTTCAGGTTTTTTATGTCATATTATTTTATAATTAATGTAACTTCTTCTCATCGTAAACTTGTGTGTATTATAATCTTAATACTCAATAGCGTTTTGTATGAGGTAAAATCGAATAGTCTAGCAAAGATTTAATAATTGCTGACTTTCATGCTATACAGCCGACTTGCGCTAATAGAACGTTGGAGAGAATTAATGAATTAAGTATGGCAAGTTACCATGAACTGGCACCGAAGTAGATAAATTTATCACCCAAGAGAGGAGCGGTATTAGTGTTACTATCGCGCACTATTATTACCACTTAGGTAAAATTTCTTAAACTTATTTCTAAGTACATTGTTATCTTAAAAGGTAAGTGCGCAAAAATGAATGTATCACCTCTTACTTAAGCGTTTTCTTGGTTGCATAGTTAAGAAAAATGAAAAGCAATAAAAATTCTTATAAGAGATTCGTCTAAGAAACTTAGAAGACGCAGGTCTGGAGTAATTTAGTACGCCTATAAAACAACTTTTGATGAGTGGGGAAAACTGCTACCAGCAATACTATTCGGACGTTTAAAAAGTATCAGATACAAAAGTTTAAACATTTTTAATTTATTTAAAATTTTCTCTGCTTATCTATAATAATGGTAAAATCTTATAAGTTGTTTTAAAAAGGATATTGTTAACCACATAGATCCCCTAAAAATACAAATAAACTTTTCTTTTTTATTACTGGTTGCACAACCAGTAAATTAAGCAACTAATTAAATAAATGATAGGGCCTACAGTTATTAGTATAAGTAACTTCTTGTTTTTACCTGGTAAATAAATTTTACTGTAAATTCGGTAATAAAAGTTAATGCACTTTAACAACTTTGTAACACAAAAATCTGACTATGGAGCTTATCAGAAAAGATATGGTAATCTCTAATAAGTCAACTTTATCCAATGACCTTTAACTCTTTTATATTTAATATATGGCGAAGTTACTTTTATAAAACTGTTATGAACGCCTGACTTGAAAAACTTAATACAATTTTATTGTAATACTTATATTACTTTATATAATTGTTTAGGGATTTACGGCTATATAGTCATCCTGGTGTTTTCATTATTAATACATCTGCCTTTTCTTGTATTTTCAATTCAAAATAATGTGAGTAAGTAAAGTACATAACAATTATCATTTATAAGTGGCCTGTCTGTGGTATAAAGTTTTTGGTTAAAGTTGTGGCTTGTCTTTCTTAACATATCACACAGTACTTTTAATTAGACCTAAAGTTGAAATATATATAAAATTTAGTTGTGTAACGAAATATATAATTCCTCTTTTCTCCGAGCTTAGTACAGAGAGAATTTTTCATTTTTTTTTAAAAAGAAGTATAGTTTTTCAGTATACCTTTAACAAATTAATATTTCTAGGTAGAGAAGATTTCTTGAAAAATAGGGAAAATGAAGATAAGGAAATGCCGTACCGGCTTACAAAAATTTTTTATACGAGCTTGGGGTTAGGTATATAAATTATTTTTATTAAAAACGCTATTTGGGATATACCAACACTGATAACCCATATTACATGATTTTTTCAATAGGAATCCTCCATCTGTTTTTCTTGGTAACGCTAATTGCAGTTATTATATGGTTCAGAAAAACTCAAGCTGTTATTAGTAGAGGGACTGTTTTTTTATGTCACCTATGTCTTTCATTAATAGGTGCAATAGGTAAATACACATTTGTTGCGAATTTTAACATCGCAATTGCTTCTAAGTTTAGTTTAAAGCCATTTTAAAGTGAGGGTTGATGGTAAGAAGTAACCTTTACGATAATCTACGTAGTAATACTTTTTTTTTTTTATCAGAGTACCGGGTGGCTTTAGAAAAAGTACTATCTTCGAAAGAATATTTCTTTTCTTAACAAAAAAATTAAATTTTATTCTACCATTAGTCCCGGTTTGAAAACTAGCTTGTAGTTCGTTTAGCTAATGAAATCGTAATACTGTGCACTATCTATAACTATTATGCTTTTGTGTAAAGAAACGCTATATTATTATTTTAGTACAAATTAGGTTGGCCACTACCGTGCGGTGTTAATTAATTATAGCTTTTAATAATTTAAAACTAAAGGGTGTTTTCTTTTTTCTCCGGGTGTTGATAGAATAATATATAAATTTATATAAATCCGTTATCTAAGTTGCTCTATTCTGTACGTACCATATGAAAATGAAACTTCAGATAACTAATTTACTAGTGGCTTTTACTAAGAAAAGTAGTACTTATAAAAGCTGCTCAGCCTAAGATAACTTTAATAACTAAAAGCGTAGCTACACGATAAAAAACAACGCATATGAGTTTTTTAAAGTTACCATATTATAAATTAATAAATAGTTATCTCTGTATATTACACCAAAACGCGAATCGATCAAGTAAGCAAGAGTAATATCGGGGATGCGAAAAATACTAGTTATAAGGTCAATTATTGTGATCTTTTTATCGATAATACATGTCTTAAGTAAATGTATTGTAATATAATACAGCCCTTCAGATTTTTAAACAAGTACTTAGGGGTGCAGTTTTTTGCGTTCGTTAGTTTTTATTCTCAAACAGTGGGTGTACAACATTTTTTATTTGTTAAAAACAATAAATATATATATTTAGCGAATATATAATTAAAATTGATGATAAATGCCTTGGTAACTATAGGTAGCCATATTACTTGCGTTCTTTTTTGGGAACTATCTTTCGGCTATTGCAATACGAATGCGTTTAATTTATGAAATCTTTTATTCAAAGTCTAAAAGAAGCTTTCATCCTTTGTTAAATCATTTTAAATACTACTATATAGACTTGGTAATATACGCTGTTGCTATGCTTCCGGCAGCATTAAAAAGTAAATTTTTTTATATATATTGAAACTACTTTTAAATTGCAATCTATACTTAACTTTTAAGTAACACTCACCTTTAATTAAATTATAAAAATTTTTATTACACAGTTTATGGAATTGTTTCAAGAAAATTGCAGGTGGTCGGCCCTTTCCTCCTCATTCCAATCTACTATTCCCTTGTGATCGGCTTTTTTACATACAAGTGTCGAAATATAGGTTAATATGAATAAAAAATTAAATTGAAAGCATTAACAATAACAATCTTGTATTAAGCCACAGAGTTTTCTGATTACCGCACAAACTTACGGTCTTCGGGGTACTGCTGTGTCGCCTTTCTAATAGTTATTATAATTTATAAAACGGTGAAAACTTTAGTGGCTGCTACAGGTATCATAGTAACAACTTACTTTCGTTGTTGTTACTAACAGTATATCAAATTAAGTTTGGCAAATGGCAATAGAGTCTATCGGACTTGTTTACGGTTTAGACTCCCTCCTTGAATTAACATTTTTAGAACTTTCTAAAAGAAAAAGGGCTCGTGATAGAGAAAAAACTAGGGGTGGAACTAACGGGTTGTCAAAAAAAACTAGTTATACTTAAGATTTACAAAATAAATCACTAACCCGTCACGTAATATTTTTTGAATTTTTTTTACACGTACTTTTATGATCTACACTGTTAGCAAGTAAATAAGCATCCAATAAAAGGTTTTAAACACACATTATCTTTCTTTTTGGTTTCTTTTGATACGAAAGGTGCGAGGGATGCAACAATTGCACTCAACGTAGAACATAAATGTGAATAACTATGAAATACGCTCAACCCCTTGCTATACGCAGAAATACAAATTTTTTGCTGTCAGTGGCACTGGAGCGCCCCCAAAATGCAAAATTACGAAACCAGTCCATACTTTTTAGTAAAAAAATTAAATCGGGGGCACTAACTTAAAAAATTTCAGACCCCCCTAAAATAGGCACGTGTCGTGCCTGCTGTCGCATGTTTAGTTGGTGCAGGTCGAAAGTTTTTTGTCAATACTAGAACTTCTTAGCTTGAACTGCCCAAAGAAAACTTTTAAAAGATGGTGGTTTCTTTTATACAAGTTGTGATTTACACTTATTATGTCTCTTAACCTCCTCAACCTGTAACCTTTTGTGAAAGAAATTTAAGTAAAAAAAATATATATATATATATAAATCTGGAGTATACCATAAACTAAAGAACTCTCAATAGCATTTTTTTTCGAGTGGGTTGTTATCCACTGTTATACTAAAAAAGTTTGAAACAGTGCTTTTTTAACAGTGAATCTTCTAACCTAGTTATTTTAAAGTCACTATATCTGATACATTTTTGTAAAAATCTAAAAAAAAAAATTGATTTTCTAACATTATAGTTAAAAAGGTAAGCACAAGTCAAATAAAATCAATGCCGAAGAACCTTATTAAAACTTGTGTGCGTACAAACAAAGTATTTCGGTAGGCGAGACCTATAGTGGCTACGCCTGGGTAAATAGGGTCTCGGCAGGGTTAAGGGTTAGGGTTAGGGTTAGGGTTTAGGTTAGGGTTAGGGTTAGGGTTAGGTTAGGGTTAGGGTTAGGGTTAGGTTAAGGGTTAGGGTTAGGGTTAAGGGTTAGGGTTAGGGTTAGGGTTAGGGTTAGGTTAGGGTTAAGGTTAGGGTTAGGGTTAAGGGTTAGGGTTAGGGTTAGGGTTAGGGTTAGGGTTAGGGTTAGGGTTAGGGTTAGGGTTAGGGTTAGGGTTAGGGTTAGGGTTAGGGTTAGGTTGGGGTTAGGGTTAGGGTTAGGTTAGGTTAGGGTTAGGGTTAGGGTTAGGGTTAGGGTTAGGGTTAGGGTTAGGGTTAGGGTTAGGGTTAGGGTTAGGGTTAGGGTTAGGGTTAGGGTTAGGTTAGGGTTAGGGTTAGGGTTAGGGTTAGGGTTAGGGTTTAGGGTTAGGTTAGGGTTAGGGTTAAGGTTAGGGTTAGGGTTAGGGTTAGGGTTAAGGTTTAGGGTTAGGGTTAGGGTTAGGGTTAGGGTTAGGGTTAAGGTTAGGGTTAAGGGTTAGGGTTAGGGTTAGGTTAGGGTTAAGGTTAGGTTAGGGTTAGGGTTAGGGTTAGGGTTAGGGTTAGGGTTAGGGTTAGGTTAAGGTTAAGGGTTAGGGTTAAGGGTTAGGGTTAGGGTTAGGGTTAGGGTTAGGGTTAGGGT